GTTTCAACAAATTTTACTTCATTTTTTACTTGTTTCCTATTTTTCATTTTCTATTTCTTTTTTTCCTATTTTTTATTTCCATTTAGGTTATTTCCTATTAGAAGACCATTTAGGTGGGTATTTTGTTGTTGGAGTTTAGAAAGTTTTGGCTTTATGAATTTTGAGAGACTTTTATAGAGTGTTGTATCAATTTTTTTTTTGCAAGGGGTGTGTTTGTATTTTGCTCAAGAACAGGTGCAGATTTTCCTCACTGTTCGTATATCATCATTTCACAGTTCTCTATTTTTTTCTTTGTCAGGACAGTCTCCCAAGGATGCTTCTCCTTCCAAATGATGTCGACCTCACATATTATCTTTTCCTTGCTATTCTACAACCACATCCCCTCTAAATCCACTTCTCAAACATCTTCTAGGAGCTCAATAACAGTGTCGCTCTTGCTTTTAATATGAACCTTGGTGCATGTGAGGCCAGATTTTAGGGATTGATGCTTGGGATTTTGTCATGATGTTGTACAAATCCAAAATATTGTAAACTTTTGAAATCATTTGTTGAGTATAGAATATATGAATTGTTGATGCTGAATTGTCGAGCATATTGCTGAGTCATTGAGCTGGTGAATTCTCGATTCGGCTAGTAAACATGATTATGGTTTTACTTGTTTTATCAAAATTTGTTGATTTTTTTAATGGAACTCGTGTTTTTTAAGTTTTTGAGTGCTTTCATTTCGTGTACACTGTCTACCTGAGAGTTGTAACTCTCTTATAGTGGACAGTGGCATAATTTTAATGTTATTTGAAAGTTTAGATCTCCATTATTCAAAGCTTAATAGCCAATTCTTTTTTAATTTGTAAAATTGCATTTAAAATTTAAGTTTTTTTTTATATTTTAATCTATGTTGCTTGTATTTTTGAGTTTCTATTTTTGTGTTTTACTTAAAATTGATAAAAAAAATATTGGCATTAATATTTGAACCATTCTATAATTTTAATTTAGTGAATCACAGGTATGCCTTATGGGCTACTTTCCCAAGTGTAATGTCAAGCTCTTCAAATGATTTCCCGAGTGTATCAATAAAATTTCAGTACAGTTTTTTATATTTTTTAGTACATTTAATACATCATTGAGTTCTCACGAGTTCCCTAAATGTAACGTCGAGTGCTTAGGATAAGTTTGCAAGTGTAATTTCAAACATAAGTTTTGAAAATGCTTCTATCAAAAATAAAATTTAACTTCCAAGGATAAGCCAAGAAGTTTCTGAGAACTTGCTTTTCTTAAAAAAAAATAAATGAAATCTAAGGTTGGTAAATCACTCCACTCTTTCTAAGATTTTTATTTCAAGCATTCATAAGATGGTTCCTATCATCTCCTTGACGTGTTTGGGGTAGGTTCATCTCTCTTGTTGTGTTTTTTTAATCTTCATTTTAGGTTTGACGAGTAAAATCTCTAGTTTTCTAGCTTAGACGAGACTTTCCAAATGACTGTAAAAACGATGAAAATATTTTATGTTTTGATCATAAGCATTGTGAAAAGTATAATACTTTAATGTTATATCAAGTATGAGATTGTGTGAATAATTAAGATGGCCGGGAAGTAATCTTTCTCCTTACTTGCATTTACCAATTCAGCATAAAAAACTCAAAAGGAGTATAAATAATGAGTTTGTTTACTATTGGTGACTTATCTCTTAACAGAGACTAATAAAAGAGAGCTTGTTCATATCGGAATTGATATCTATAATCAAGTTACTTGAATGTATCAAGTTCTTAACATGATTTCTCCGAGTGTGCTACAAGATTGCAAAGATGATTGGAAATGTTAATACTTAAATGCATATCAAGTATGAGTTTGTGTGAATAGTGGAGATGGCCAACATAGGTATTCTTTCCTTTGATTGCATTTACCAATTTTGCATAAGAAACTCATAATGGGGTATATATCAAGTATCTATTTACTATTTGTGAGTTATCTTTTAACTGAGATGATAAAAGAGAGCTTGTTCATATTGGAATTGATATGTAATGTGATGTTCCTTGAATGTATCGAGTTCTTAGCCGTGAGTTCTATGAGTGTACTTTTGAGTTTCTTAGATGTGTTCCTTGAAAGTACAAGGCTTAAGGATTAATTCCAAAAATTCATCATTGAGTCCTCATGATGAGTTCCCTAAATATAATGTTGAGTGCTTGTAGTAAGTTCTTCAGTGTAAATTTCAAATATAAGTTTTGAATATGCTTCCGCCAAAATTAAATTTTAATTTATAAAGATAAACCAAGAAATTTTCATAACACTTGCTTTTCTTAAAAAATGTAAATGATTTATAAAGTTGATAAAGCACACCGCCTTTTCTAATAGTCTTATTACATGCATTTATAAAATGATTTCTACTTTTTCTATGACTTATGTGGGATGGATTCACATCTCTTATTGTGTTTTTAATTATTATGTAGGGTTGCTAAGTAAAATCTAAGTTTTCTAGCTTAGATGAGTTCTTCCACAAGATTATAATGATGATGACAATATTTTATGTCTTGATCATGATCTTTGTGAAGTATAATACTTCTATGTATATCAAGTATGAGGTGGTGTGAATAATGGAGATGGCTAATAGAAGTATTCCTTTTCTTTAATTGAATTTACCGATTATGCATAAGAAACTCATAAAGGAGTATATATCAGGTGCTCATTTACCATTGGCGACTTATCTCTAAACATAGACTGAGAAAAGAGAGCTTGTTCATATTGGAATTGATATGTAACATGAAGTTCCTTGAATTCATCGGTTCTTAGCATGAATTCCCCCAAATGTTTTTTGAGTTTCTAAGATAGTTTCTTGAACGTACAGGTCTTAAGGATGAGTCACGCAAAAACATGATTGAGTTCTTAGAACAAGCTCCCTAAATGTAAATTTCAAGTGTTTTGGATAAGTTCTTATATGTTAATTTCAAACTTAAAATTTGAATATAGCTCCATCAAAACTAGATTTTAATTTGTTACACGATTAACCAAAAAAATTTCTTAAAACTTGCTTTTCTTCAAATATGTAAATGAATTATAACATTGACAAAGTACAACACCATTTCTGAGATATTTATTGCAAGAATTCATAAATGCTTATGCGGAGTGGCATTCATCTCTCTCAGTGTTTTTATTTTTTTTTTTATTTTTTTTTAGGGTTTAGTAGTAAAATCTCTTCGAGTATTCTAGCATGCATGATTTCTTTTACAATATTGTAAAGAGGATGACAATCTTTTTATATTTGGATCATGATCTTTGTGAAAAGTATAATACTTTAATGTATATCAAGTATGAGGTTATGTAAATAGTGGAAATGGTGAAATGGCTGACGGAAATATTCTCTCTTTAATTGCATTTATCAATTCTGCATAAAAAACTCATGGAGTGTGCATGAAGTGTATGTTTACTTTTGCCAGACTTATCTCTAAACAAAAATTTAGAAAAGAGAGCTTGTTTATATTTGAATTCATCTTTATAATGGGCACTAGTTTCTGGCCAAGTTGAAGTCAGCACATTGCTTGATTGGGTGATTATGATGATGATGTCATCAAAGTGATTCGGCAACTTTTGAAAATCACAAAGTAAAAATTCTTAAGTTGTAATTTTTGCATTAATGTGATTATTTATGAGTTCTAATAATTAGGGTGATGTCCTCAACTGCCTCAAACATGGTGCATACTTGGAAGACTCTTCTCAAAGATCATGCAGTTTGGGTGACTAGAGACTTTTACATCCATCATTTTATATTTAAATCCAGTAATAAAATGTTGAAAATAATCATTAAGCTCTTGCCTAGTATTTAAGGTCTGTCAAGTTTTTCAGATGCCCTTTGTGTGCTAGAGAGTTGAAGTTTTGATGCTCCTAGGAGATAGCCTTGAAAATCACTAAATTAAATGACTTGAAGCATAGCTAACATTTATACAAAATCATATAACGGGAGGAGAAAATCCTTTAATGTGAATTGAGCAATGTGATCCATTCGATCCAACTTCCTTTTATAGGTTTCAATAATTGATATTTTAAAATTTTAATTGAGGCTGAGCTTTTGTAATTTGAGCAAAGAGCACGTTGGTTATTTTCATGGATAATTTTGGGTTGCTGAGGGTAAGTTCTGCTTCATTTTCTCATCAATGCGACGAACATCCCTCAGTGGAGATTGATAAAATAATATAAAATTAATGGTAATGTGCTGATGAAATTGTGTTCTCGGAAATGGTAAATATGAGATATATTGCCAAAAATATTGAGATCTTTTGGATTGTTTTTATCAAATTATCTTTTCCATTTGATTTAGGCATCTGATTGATCCATTGATCTTCCTCTTTCATCTGAGAGATCCATTGTTTGGCTTCTTGTTTTAGGCATTATTGATCTTCACCACAACTAATAGAATGTTAGATTCAGACATGTTTGTAGGTGGCATGAGAATTTTACTAACAAAATATACCGTTAAAAAAAAAAAAACTCTACCATTTAATTGTTGTTTAGACTTATCTTTGAACCTCTTATTTATATGTTTGAGCCATGTTACAGTGCTATATAAATGACAATATAGAAATGATATTACATAACAATGCTTAAAAAATACTTGTTGTAGAAGTAATCAAGCTTGATAGCTTGAGTTATTAAAAATTTATAGAGATCTCAATGACAAATTTTGACATGTTTTTAAAATGCTCGAAACAATTTGTAAAAAAAAATTTAGTTTTTAAAATAACTATGAAACTGCCTCCTAACCTTTCAGCAGTAGCAGCATTCATTATGCAAATCAGTATGTAGAAATTCCACTGAAGAGATCTCATCTTTTCTGTTGATGCTTTTCCCCCCCTTATGTGAACACAGTCTTGAGAGATCAGAAGGAACCACATGTGGGAATACAACACAATTCAATTTCTCCATTTCCCTCCATCCTAAAACCCAAGACAACCTTTTGTAATACCACTGATCACGACTATATAATTTATTCCTCAACAAAAGTACCTCCGCAGGTTCCAACTTCTACCCGAATTCGACCAGGGGAAGCGAAGTTGCCGCAGACGTCTAGCCGGACACAACGAACGTCGAAGAAAGCCACATCCCGGGCCTCTAACATCGCGATGCGGCAGGCTATCCTTCCATGGTGCAGTTTTCTCACATCTTAGTTTATTCCAATGGCTTCACTTTAATCCCTAAGCCTAAAACATTGCCCTACATGTTTGCAGAGGACGACAGCAGATATAGAATCTTCTTGAAGGACTTCAGTTATCCAAGTTCGCATGGTGCATCAAGAGATATATGGCCAATGATGCGAAACGACCAGGCACTCAATAATCAGTGGCACGGGAGCTACAATACTCGCATCGGGGCCGTCACAAACCATTATCCTACTTTCCTATCTGCTTTTGAGCAAGCATCAAGTGATTGCCTTACAGGTGTCTCAGACTCCAGCTGTGCTCTCTCTCTTCTGTCAAACCAGCCATGGGGCTCGAACATCATGGCCTCGGCTCCACCTAGAAACCACCCACCTAGAAACCATGAAGCTCCGCTGATATCGGCGGGCACTGGAATCAGAGGTGGCTCGATGGCTCAAATAAACATGGCAAGCAGCAACATGAGTTGCCCGTGGATGTTTAGAGATCATTCCTCCTGGAGTAGTTCGCTTGATATGGGGCTTCGACAGTTGTCAGATGCAGGCAATGGCCACTTCTCGAGTGAGCTTGAGTTGGCTCTGCAGGATAACAGGCAGTGTGATGATGAGATTGGCCACCGTGAGGTCTTTGATCATGATCATTCTGCTATGCATTGGTCTCTTTGAAGTAGTACTGTTTGCTTCTGCTTCTGCATTTTATGAACTATGAAACATGATATTTATCTTTGGGGGTATTCTGTGAACATTTGAATGGCATGACTTCTTTATGAGGACTACTATTTCACGAGTTTTTGAATGTCGTTTTTAATTCTCTATTTAATACTTGCAAGAAACAATTTCGGTCTATCGATTCGATGCAACAGAAAACATGGAAGTAAAAAAGGGCTGATTTGCAACTGGAGATCCAATAGTCGAGGCTTGAAAAACTATTTGAAATTTGAAATGACGCAGGTGCACTGATTGCACTGTGAAAATGAAAATTTTTTACAACTGTCATTACAAGGCAGTACTATATCTTATACATCAGCGCAAATAATGAATACAAATTTCGATGTTGCATGAATTATATGCTAATCAAAAATCATGTTCCTTTCTACAGAAACAAAATTGCAAGCTTAAATTGTGAATTGAAGACATAAAAACTCAACTTTCTAGCACTGCGGGCTTTCATGGAGGTCCATGGTTAAACTGTTGATTAGGAGCTTAGATGATTGAATGGCACTTTGATATTCTTTCTTCATGAATTCTGAGGAGCTGAAGTTGGCTAATTAAATATTTTCTTGACCCTCTGATCCAGCCTTGCATACAATTTCGATCATAAAATCAAAACCTGCCTTTGATTGCCACCCAGGGGGGTTGCTTGCTGGCAGATTCGAATGCTAAAAGCAACCTGATTCAGTGGTCCTCTTCATGGAGTCCAGGACAAGAAGACTGGAGTGCTGCTTCTGATTCATACTGGAAGTCGAGTAATGGAAATTAACCAACAGTTCAAGAATTTATTAACAATAATTTATATGATTACATAAATACTAGAAAATAAGAAAATGCCATTCATATTCAAAAAGCAAATAACGGAGGAGCAAGACAAATAAAAGAAACAGGGTAAATAGCATTTTGGAAGATTTCATAAGTACCACTCAATTTTTTTTGTATTTGCACATCGAACATCTACACTTTAATTTTTTACATACATACCACTATCTATGCATGAAAGTGTTTCACTTATAAAAATTAAAATGAAGATATTTTTTAATATGTCAAACAAATTTGGGTAGTTAAAATGTAAAAAAAGTAGAAGTTTATGGCTATTTGAGATCATTTTTTTGTTTTTGTTTTTTATTTTTATTTTGATTCTTTATTTAAAAAAAACATTTTGTACTGTTATGATTTATACAACAACAACAATAACAAAGTCTTAATCCAACTATGTGGGGTCGGCTACATGAATCCTTTTTCCCATTGCGTCATATTTAGTGTCATATTTTCATGTAATTCTAGTAAATTTAGATCATTTTTTATACAATAAGCCCAAGTCTTCCTAGGTCTACCTCTACCTTTCTTAACACAAGTCGAATCTAAAACATCTACTCTCCTAATCGGATCATCAGATGGTCGACGTTTAATGTGACCAAACCATCTAAGACGGCTTTCTCTAATTTTGTCTGTCACGGTACACCAACCCTATCACGGATATATTTATTTCGCATTTGTATCTAAGTGTAAAGCCACTTATCCACCTAATCATTCTCATCTCGACAACACTTAACTTGTTATTATGCTTCTCTTTTAAAGGCCAACATTCAGCGCCATAGAGCATTGCAGGTCTCACCATCGTCATATAAAATTTTCCTTTTAGTCTAAGTGGTACTTTTCTATCACACAAAAGGCCCGAAGCATTCATCCACTTCAACCAACCAACTTGAATTCTACTATTAACATCCCCATTTATATCACCATCGCTTTGAACAACAGACTCAAGATATCTAAAACGTTTAATAATTTGATCACCCAAAGTCACACTTCTGTCACTAGAGCTACTACTACTAAAATTACATTCCATGCATTCAATTTTAGTTCTACTTAAATAAAGGTCTTTAGACTCCGATGTAAACCTCCATAATTCAAGTTTTTGCTGGGTTTTTTCTCTCGTTTTATCCACGAGCATGATATCATCAGCAAAAAGCATATACCAAGGTACATCCTCTTGTAGATGTCCAATAAGACCATCCATAACTAAAGAAAAAAGATATGATCTTAAAGTCGATCCCTGATGTACTCCAACAGAAATAGGAAAATATTTGGTCAATCCTCCTTCAGTTTGAAGACAAGTAACAACTCTAATATACATATCTTTAATGACTTGAATATAAGTCATATCAACACTTTTCTTCTCAAGAACTCTCCAAAGGATATCTCTTGGAACCTTATCGTAAGCTTTTTCTAAATCAATAAAAAACAAATGAGATTCTCCTTATTATCTCTGAACTTATCCATCAAACCTCTCAATAAATGTATAGCTTCCATAGTAGACCTGCCCAGTATAAATCCAATTTGATTATGAGAAATCTTTGTAATGCGTCTTAACCTATGTTCAATTACCCTCCCATAATTTTAAAGTATGACACATCAACTTAATTCCTATATAATTTGCACACCCTTGTGCATCCCCTTTATTCTTAAAAATGAGGACCAAAATACTCTTCCTCCACTCCTCAGGCATCTTCTTAGTTTTTAAAATAATATTAAAGAGTTTAATAAGCCAAGAAACACCCAAATCTCCTAAATATTTCCACACTTCAATTGGGATATCATAAGATACTACAGACTTTACACCCTTGGTTTTTCTTTAAAGCCCACTCAACTTCTTTTTTACTAATGCGATGGTAAAAACGAAACATTTTATTATTATTCATGATATTAAGATCATTAAGGTCGATCGTATTTTCAGAAACTTCATTAAAAAAATTATCAAAATAACTCACTCACCTATGTTGAATATCTTTTTCTAAGAAAAGTACTTTTTTTTATTTTCATCTTTAATACATTTTACTTGAGTTAAATCTTTACTTTTCTTCTCTCTTTGTTTGACTAGTTTATACATATATTTTTCACCCTCCTTAGTATCTAATATATTATAAAGATTATTAAAAGTAAAATTTTTACCGTCACAGGTTGTTTTTTTAAACTCCCTGCGGGTCATTTGATATTTTTCCCAGTTCTCTAAGCTTTTACATTTAAATCAATTTTTATAACATAACTTCTTATATTTTATCTTTTTTTGCACATTATTATTCTACCACCAACTATTTTTATTTATAAATTTTTTTTTATTCTTCAAGCACTTCTTTTGCTACTTATTTAATAGTGTTTGTTACTTTATCTCACATAACATTTACTTCTTCATGAACATCCCAAATTTTAAAATATTAAATTTTACTCGTAAAAATAATTTTATTTGTCTTTTAGGTTTCCCCAATTAATTCTACGATAATAAATCCTAGTATTATTTATTTTACAACTCTTCATCTTAAAATCTAGAACTAATAAACAATGTTGGGTACTTAAATTCTCACTTGGAATGACCTTATAATCTTTACAATCTCGACGATCTCTTCTTCTCATGAGAAAATAATCAATTTGTGTTTTATTAGATCCACTCTTATAAGTAATAAGATGTTCATCTCTTTTTTTTTTATTAAAGTATTAATAATAACAAAATCATATGCAAAAGCAAAATCTAAAATAACTCTAAATTCTTCATTAGTTACTCCAAAACCGTAGCCACCATGAGTATATCTGAAGACTTCTACCACTTTACCGATATGTCCATTTAAATCCACTCCAATAAAAATTCTTTCTTCAAGAGATATCATTTGTATTAAGCCTTCTAAGTCATTCCAAAATTTATCTTTAGACCTTGTATCTAAACCTACTTGAGAAGCATAAGAAGCATAAGCACTTAGCACTTATAAAATTAAAAATTTTAGTATCAATGATAATCTAAAGGGCTATAATTTTATCACCAACTCTATTAAATTTTACAACATTATCTTTCAAACTCTTATCAATAATGACACCTACACCATTTCTAGTGCAAATCTTACCAGAATAACAAAGTTTAAAACCTAAAATATCAATCTCCTTAGTCTTTTCTCCAACCCATTTAGTTTCTTGAATACATGAGATATTATTTTTTCTATGAATCATAATATCAACTAATTCCATTAATCTACCATTGAGAGTACCTATACCTATATTCCAAGATCCTATCGATCCTATCCTAATATTAGTTTCATTAGTTTCATGGACTAACTTCTTTACCCGCATTCATTCGTAATGTAAGAACTCTTGCTTATTTGACACTATACTCGGGTGCCGATGTAACGGCCCTTGCACACTTTTCACTATATTCAAGTTATACAACGCGTCGTTCTAGGGGACGCCCTAGCACTTACACAATGATCAAAATGATTCATTTCATGATTTTTTTTCGACAAATTTTACGCTGGTTGTTGACTAGCTAACGCAACCCTCCACAATTATGATTTATATATTTTTAAAAATAAAAAATATAAAACATGTTTGGTTCATTTTTTTTTTAAGAGAACTATATTTCTTATAAAATAGTTGGGTCCATATGACATTCTAGTATTAAGCTTCGTCGCCCATTGCGTACACGTCTTCCTTGCTCCACCCAACACGAATCATTACATGTGCAGGTGGAGACAGCAGGCGGACAATGACAACAGGTGACGGGCGGAGGATGGAGGGTAGTGACGACGGCAGGTAACGAGCAAGTAGATGGCAACGATGGTGGTTGCGGCGACTGCAGGTAACAGGCGGGCGAGGGAGGTTGTGGAGACGAGCAACGAGCTGTTATTGGTCATGGGCGGCGGCCGCGGCCAACATGCAATGGCGACAGAGAGCAGTGGCGCAGTAACCGTGGCGTGGCGGGCAGTAGGCGGCGACGACTACCAGTGGGGACCACGGGCGGCGGTGGCAATGGTTGGAGGCGACTGACAATAGATAACAGGCAGAGGCGACTGTCGGCGGCGGCGGATACAACAGGTTACCCAGGAGGTAGCCTCAGCGGGTGGCCAAAGGCGGTGGCGAGCAGCGACCTCGGCAGGCGGTCGGTGACGTACATTTTCTCATGACTTATTTATAATGTGTTTAGAGACGTGTCTCTTTAAGGTGTTTTAAAAATAGTAAAAACATGTTTTTTTTTTTTTCTGTTTTGGATATTTTTAAAAAATTATGTTATTTCTATTAAAAAAAAAAAAAAAAAAGTTAAACAAACACTATTTTTCTATTTGTTTCCTATTTTTTATTTTCAATAACAACAAAAAATAAGAAATAAAAAATGATCCCAAACAGCCCCTCAGGTGTTGTTGGATATTTAAATACATAGGAATTGAGTGGGATGCACCTAAATGTCCCAAGCTTTTATTAATGTGGTTTCGATGCCCTGCATCCTTGTCCGCACTATTTATAAAGCATGAATAAAGCCTCAACATCAAGTGGCCCAATTTACAGCATAGCATATTGGAGTCCAATTTAACTTGCACACTGCCAAGAATTGAATCTTTTCAGGATATCAAGTCCATGCGCTAATAAATCAAACCATGAATTTAATTCCTTATTTAATATATTTTATTGAAAAAGAAATATTGATTTTTAAAGTTAATGGATTATTTTCAAGTTTTAAGATATTTTTTAAGCATATATTTGTGTATGCAAATACTTACGGCTATTTAAAAAGACAATTTATATCATTATCTTCACATAAAAATTATAACTTTCAAGATGAATAGATGAACTTAAAGTGAATATGCTAATTAAAGTAAAAGCTTTATTGGAAAATAAAAAATATATATTAATATGTCAATAAGAACGAGTGGAGAATATAAAAATTTCTGAGAGCATTGTGTGAAGTATTGAGATAAAATCGAAGA